TTTTTTTTTTTTTTTATCTTTAAAAAGCAAGGTGGTCTTCTGCAGAAGGGTCAGCTTTAGTTAGCAGAAGTGCTCGCGCTCAGTGTCGCAGCTGCTTGTGCGAGGGGAGGCAATACAGTCTCCTGGAGGGTTTGTGCAATACTTTGGAATAAACAACCGAATAATAAGTTTAAGCTGAGTAATAATCCAGCGTTAAAGATGGTTTTAGCGTTCATAAAGGCAGCCACGGAAACACTCTCTGCCCGCAGAGGCAGCACCAGGCACCCGTGCGCCTACACGTTTCCCTTAATCTTGGCCTGAAGTAGCAAGGAGGAGTTGCGGGTTCCTTGTGCTCTTCCCGTGCTTGTCTTCCTCTCTCCGCAGAGAATCTATGAAGGTAACAAACCCGTGCCCAACTTTCATGGTATGTACGTGTGAAAGGAAGAGACATAGAAACTTGCCCACTTGGATACTAGAAGGTTATTACCTCTGTAATAGCTCCCTGTGGCAATAACTTCTTGTCACTACCAGCACTGAGGCCATTCCCAGGCTCGGTTAAATTGGGTAAATCTTGGGAGCTCTGCTCAGCTCAGGGCAGAGCTCTGTCCCAGCAGCTTCCATCCAAACAAATGACTGGCAGTGGGAGCCTCCAAATCTCATTATCAATTCCTTGGGACACCGCCAGTCCCTTAGCAATTAAATCTTGAGATGAAGATTCAGATTATACAGTCAAGATCTTTTTTTTTTTTCCTCCAGATTTGCACTGATGATTATTTACAGAGCGAAGGTCACCCTGGCTAGTTTTCTGGCCTTGCATTTTTCATATTGATCCTAACATCATCATTTCAGCATTACAAAAGAAAGAGGGAAAAAAATAAAAAGGGCAGTCAAAGCTCTTGGTGGCAGTCGCGTTGCGGGAAGTTTGGACACTGGCATACAGCCCAAAATAAATGATGAATTACAGCTGTGGTAGACATATACTTTGACATGTTGGGAAGCAATATTATGTTCTCCCGTTTTCTCTACTGCATGTGCATCTTTGGACCCCTCAGGCTGATCGATCGTTCTTAGTGCAACAGTCCAAGGAGGCAGAAACGGGTCTCTTGCCAACACTGTCTACCAGCCTCTGGGACTTGGTATGCTTCTGCTTTCCTTATAATAACAAGGAAAAACACGCCACTCAGTACCGCATCTTCCTCAATTTTAGGACTGAGTGCATTTAATAATGTTCTAGAAAGTTATGAGTACACCATCACTATTGAGATTTGGATTAAAAGAGCAATGACCTCTTGCTGAAATCAAGCTTGTTATTGAATGAGTGTGTAATTTTTTCCAGCACAGTTTTCCAGCACAACGCAATACTTACTCCTTGCAGAAGACATACCTCTATTTCCGTTTCACTGTAATATATTGAGATTATGCCTGACTTTACTTAAAAATACTAAGCAGATTCCACTTCTTGGAAAAGTATGGATCTCATCTGGAATTCAGTCTGTGAGTTTTTCCCAACTTGGACTGCAGCAAGGGGAAAAGAAACAACAAATTAAAACATGTATGGCAGCCTTAATGGAATGGGGGCTGCAGAGAACGTTCTTTGATTATGCTATATGCCAGGGCACTGTGAGAATGGATTCAGATACTGTCTCTTGTTTAAGGGTGTAATTTAGGATTAATATACAGCACATAATGCAGTGCTCATACTTACAGGATGCAGAAAACCCAAGAGAATTCTATAATATACAGTGCAAGCACTGGAAAAAGTAAGGCTCATTTAATACACAGGCCCCTCAATTTCACATATATGGCAGAATTCGATATCCAAACTCTGTGTTTTGCTAAAGCAGATGTGGTTGCATACAGCAATTTTGGCCTTGTGCATTGTCTTCCTTCATAGGAGCTCATTTCAGCAATGTGCAGAGCATTGCGCATAAGAGCATTGTGCGACGTACAGTAACAACGAGGAGGAACTTCATTTTCACTGAATGTCTCATGTTCCCCCCCAAAACAGGGCTGAATCATGCCAACTGGAGAGTGCTCCCATGTGCCTCTGAAATCAGAGTGGAGAGCACACTGTAGGGAGCGTGTCTGTCAGCTCACCTGTCTCAACATTATCTGCATAATTTCAGCCATCAGGCTTTTTCTGGGGAAGATTTCGAATATTCACACACAAAATGCTCGTATAATGTACGGAACAGGTGAGTGCAGCTCTCTCTCAGCTTCTTCCTCAGAAACAAATCTAAAATACACTGGCAATTTTAAATTAAAAAACCTGACTTTCCAACCTTACATGAACTATAAAAATCAATTCTTGAAAATAGAGCATTTTGTTAAGGACAGCTATGATTAAAGGTGCTTACATAAAAGGACTGGATCTCCTCCCTCCAATACTTGATGGTCTCCCTGCTGCCGTACTACACATAATGCAAAACAGAGTAAAAAAATGCAGTATTCCGAATAGTTTTAAAATTTAGAGGCTTTGGGAGAGATGAAAGAAACATTATTTTGCTATCACTGTTTGAACAAGAGCATTTTGTAGGCTGCAAGCTATTTACACATTCTCCTACAATGAAAACTTGGAAGAAACAGCATTATATATGGATATTGCTTATCTGCTCATATACTTTTCTGTCTTGCAGGACTGAGAGCAGGAATGAGCTACGCGTTATCTAAATGACAGAGCTGAAGAAACAATAGAGAAGAAAGCTCAAAACCGACCATTTTCAACTTTTGTGTTGTCATTTCATGTCATACAACAGCTTTTATGTGTCTGTCTAACTTATACCCTTGCTTCACTTTATCTAGCTCTGTTTGTCATTTCTCAAAAAAAAAAAAAGTTTGGGGATTTGGTAAGAGAGAGCTGTGCTGGAATATCCCTTTACTGGTGGCTAATGTAAAATTCTCATTCTTTAGAAACACTAGAACTGGATATTTGCATTGAGAAATGTTGGGGTAATTAAGTACTTGCATGACTTTTTCAGATTTCTGGATTTTCATTTATCTATTAATTTTCTTTTGAAATGAATTGTGAGCTAAGTTGTATTGATTTTTATTGTGCAATAAATCATGACTTTTCAAGAAAAACAACAAATTTTTAAAGGTGCTACGGAATCTTTTTTTTTTTTGCAGAAGGAAAAGGTGAACACTCACTAAAGAGAGTTCTTTATTCCAATTGATAAAGTGAGACCATCCTCCAAAAGCAGGAAGGTTCCAAAGTAATATCCCAAAACTGCACATAGCTGAAGAAGTGACCTATAAAGACAACACATATAAAACAGCAAGAATGGTGAAAGGAAGATACATGCTCATAAAACCACATCCACCTTCATAAGACACCACTAAACGAGTAACAGGAAGAGCCTTCAAGTTGTCATGCCCATGGGTGAGAATGCCAGGACAACTTCTATCTGAGAAGGCACAAAATGTCACACGCCGCAGTACTGATCCCGACACAGTCTGTTTAAAAGGTCTGTTTGCACACAAAATCCAGGAGAGAACTTGAAATGACAACTGCATAGGGAAGAAAAGACACACGTATATGCATGTATCCAGTCCTTCAGCAGTCCTGAGACAGTGACTGCTCCATTAAATGCCTTTTTGCTTCCACCATCCCTTTCTTTAGTGTAACGTGATGACTCCCAAGCCACAGCTCAGAACCTTGCTCAGTTTTCATCCTTCTAAAGGGTTAGCTATGTTCAACAATGTTGAGAAAGGTCTACATTTTAAAGGTCCCCTCCTTCAGAAATGCACATCTTTGCTGTGATTTTTCCTTTTTTTTACATTACTCCAGCTCTTCATGTAGCGGGCAAGTCCTACAAGGACTTCTTCTTACTTGCCTTCTACCTTAGTTAAAGACAAACTT